ATATATATATATATATATCCCTCTTTATATCAAATATGGTCCGAAAGTCTTTTTCCCCCAACTTAATTAATTCTCCTACCATAGCCTATAATTATAATAATAATATACAACTATAATAATCACAAAAATAACAATACACACACACACACACACACACATCTATTCTATATATATACAATTTTCAAGCTTAACCCACAAGAATTTCTTCAAAGCATCAACTTTTTCTTGATCAAACCTTGACATTCCATACCCCAAAGCCCCTCAATCATGTCTGGTGAACAAGAAGACCACAAGAAATTATATTCTTTCCCTTACTTTTCCAGCTTTCATCACCAAGAAGACCAGACCAATTTGCATTTGTCTGATCATGATCAAGGGTTTGCTTTCCCCATCATCACAGATAATAACCACACCAACACCTACAGTACCTTCATGTACAACCAGCCACAGCAGCAGCAAAACCCTAACACCCTCGAGTTCGATCATCTAAATAACCCTAATCCGGCCGATTTAAGCTTCTCAAACTGCCTCCAGTTAGGGGCCGCCGATTACAACACCCTCTCGAACGCCTTTGATCTCTCTTGTTCTGCTGTCGATCAACAACTCGCCAATTTTCATAACAGCGACAACAACAGCAATAACGATAATAGTAATAATAATAAGAATATTATCACCAGCTCTGACGATTTTGTGTACAAAGGGGTAGATATTGCAGGTGGGAGCGAAAATCATCAGACACAGAATTCTTCGGGCTCGGTTTCTTCGCACGAGGGTGGGCCCGAGGAGGACTCGTCCAAGGGCAGCAAGACTACTCTGCAGCCGAAAGACGGTGATCAAGAAGAAGGGACTGATGGCAAATCTAAGATTGTGTATGTTATCTAATTTTGGTGTTGATTTATCAGTGCTTTGATGAGTAGTTAATAAGAACACATATGATTTGATTTTCATTTATTCTTTTAAGCAAGAAAAAACAGAAGTGGTGATGGGATATTAGAGACAAGAGAAACCCTAGAATATATATATTATATCCTAGCTAAGAGTAGCATTAACTGGTTGATCTAGCAACACATATAGTATATAATAAATACACATGATCATATAATTAACTACATTTATTATTGAAAATCTAATTAATTTCATGCCTATGTACATATATATATATGGAATTAAATTAATTCATGTGATGACCTAAACTTAGAATTGTTATGTACACCATGATTTTCATCTTCATTATCAGCGGAAAATCGAAAAAGAAGGAGGAGAAAAAGAGGGAGCCACGGTTCGCCTTCATGACCAAATCCGAGGTCGACAATCTTGAGGACGGATATCGATGGAGAAAATACGGCCAGAAAGCGGTCAAAAACAGCCCTTTTCCTAGGTATTTAATTAATAATTTGATGTTTAATCTATGGATATTTTTTTAATTTGACCACCCTAAACTACTGGCTTGATTTACTCAAAAACACAGAATTTCCACCAAAGAATCTTGTGAGTAACTAAATTAACCTAATTAATTAAATTAATCAATCAATTAATTAATTAATTATTTATTTAGTTAATTAGTTATCTATCTATCACAGGAGTTACTACAGATGCACGAGCCAGAAATGTGGGGTGAAGAAGCGAATTGAGCGGTCGTCACAAGACCCATCGGTGGTGATCACCACCTACGAGGGCCAACACAACCACCACAGCCCAGCCACCGTCCGTGGCAGCGCCGCCGCCATGCTGACGCCATCCCTCTTCCCGCCGCCGTTCATGGGCGGCGGCGTCGGAGGAGTAGGCTTCCCGGCCGAGGCGGACCTCCAGTTTTTCCCCTCGGCCCGCCAGCAGGTCCCCAGCTCCGGATACTTTTCTCATTTCATAAATCCACATCAGCACCAGGAGCCGGCCAATGACCAGTTTGGGCTTTTTATCCCGGGCTTGAACAGTAATATCTCATCCTCTTTCCTCCATAAGCGCACCCATCCGTGATTAGCTGCTCACTAAATATCCTACGAAAGTGCCCTTTTTTCTTTTCTTTTTTTGTTTGATGATTTTCTTGGGAGTGATTAAGTAGTAATTAATTATACGTACGTCTCGGCAAAGCTCTTCCTCAAAAGTTTTAACACTGCTGTATTCCCAGGGCTCGATTCTGGATTAGTCGGTTCCCATGTGGATTCGGAAACCAGAAGGTCCCTGTATAAAAAAAAATTATACGTACGTCTCGGCGTGTTTTTATGGATGTGTTGGACAAATTAAATTTTATGGGTGTGTTTTGGGTTTAGTTGTTTGTTTGAATTTCATCACTATATGTTGGATCATATTGTACACGTGAATTAATGTGGCATGTTCGTTTAGCGATGTGGGATTGAGTAGAGTATGATAACGTATAATTTTTCTTGAAATTTTTTACATGATTTTTATTATTTTTTATTGTCCTAAAAAATATTTTTGGTGATGTTTAACAAGATCTCTACGTAAGAAAATAAAAATAAAAATAAAAAAAAATCTCGAAAAAGGGGAAGATTAGAAGATGCTAACAAGACAATTTCATTAACAATAATATTACTAGTACTAGTTGGAGTAGTTAAAAAAAATAAATAAAAGATATAATTTACACATTTTTATGTGCTAATTGAGTAGTTATATTGTTATTTTTACCCTCAATCATATATAAGATTCAACCTATATTACAACAAATATTCAAATCATATAATATAATAAGTTTGATAGATAAAGTATTATTTCTAACTATGACTGATATATAATTTAATTTTTATTTATAGTAGTGGATAAAATTATTATTGTTTTTAATTTTATGTGTGCAATATAAAGTGAAATAGAATATCGGCATAATATGATTAATTTAACTTTTATATATGTAAACTTTCAACAAATAAAAAGATCATTGAGTATTGAAATATATATGTGTATAACTTAAGTTGGTTAATTATTTTATAATTTTGAATGTCTATATAGACATGAGTAAAATTTTAAATATATATAATTTACTCTGAAGCGCCATCAATGAATAGACAATACAATTTTGCTATAAAGTCATCGGATGGCTCGATTTATGTAGTCATCGATACTTATTCATTAATAGTATATAGACATATGTGTCCTACAATAAATACAATTGAAAAAGTCGAACTAAGTTGCCTGGGAATAAATTCCAATAGGTGCATTGTTGTTATGGTCAACAAATTGATCATGTACAAACTTGTATTGTCAAGTAAGTTGGTAGATTTAGATTATAATTGTTGGATTAAAAAATAAACAGCAATGATAGTCGATAGCTGGTTAATGATAATTACAAGAGTAGATGAAAAAAAAAAATGATTGACAAAAAATTAAATAGTAAATCAATTGAAACGAAAATCTATAGGCGTCACTAGAACTCTATTTTATGACAAGTTGGATCAATTTTTATGTGTTGTTATATAGAAATTAACAACTATAATAACGAGTAATTAGAGCGTGAAATGCGAATAAATTTCAAATTTATATTATTGTAGAATCAATATGTGTTACAAGAAGTCGGTTTGTATCTAAGCCGACACTACAAAAAAAAACTCTTACATTCCAACGGAAATTTTCCGTTGAATTCTTTATATTTTCCGTTGGAATAGCTATTCCAACGGATATTCCTACGTATAAAAATTCGTGAGAAAAACGGCCGTTGGAATAGCTAAAATCCAACGAAAAATCCTATGAAAATAAATTCCTATAACTATTTCAACGGAAAAAATCCGTTGGAATTCCTCAACCATCCAACACTTATTCCAACATAAAATTAAGTTTGTTGGAATTCATTGGAATTTCCAACGAAAATTTTTGCCGTTGGAATTGAAGTGTATTATTGTAGTGCGAGTTGTTTTATGTGCTCGTATTTTTTGTCTAGGAGAAAATAAAATCCTCGTACAAGGATAAATTCTGCTATTTATAGTAACATTTGTTAACTCGATGGTCAAGGTTAGTACTGCAACATTTAATGCAAAGTAGCTTTATATATGGAGGCAGTTTGTACTGCAGGTGGGCCCATATGTTATGATTACGACATGTGTGGTGGGCGGTTTGGGCAGTTGGTCGCGTAGGCGCCTCGTCACCACCTTTGAGCTCGGTTGATCCTCGTAGGTCGATTCCTCGTCTGGTTCGAACCGAGTTCATCCTACTTTGAAAATACTTCAGATTAGTACTACCTCCTATTCTTTTTAAATGTCATTTTGGTTTTATCAACTATTAACTAAATAAATGTTTTGGGTCTTTTGTACATGTTTTTCCCATTATTACCCTCATTGCATCAATAAATACACTACGTCTTTTCATATTCACTCTTCATTTTTTCTTAAAACATTCATCTCTATCTTCATTAAATAGGGTTATTATTGACAACAAAAATATTCTTAATTATTGTGCAACTTCTCAAAACGACATTTATTTTGAATAGGAGGGAGTATTTGTTTATCTTTGAACTTAATGACTCGCTTGTCAACATTAATTATGAAAGCGCATTTCAAAAAACCATACATTTTCTTTTTAAGTACTCATTAGTTTCATTACTGTATTTATTTATTTATTTATTTATTATTATTATTATTTTTTTTTTTTTTTTTTTT